GCGCGGGCCAGGCCAAAGAGGGGATCCTCGGGCGCCTGGGGCACCGTTTCTGCCGGGAAGCTGGTGGTGGAAGCCATTGCGGGAGAGATGTGGCTCGCAATGTTGTTGATGCGGGCGAGGGGGGCGGACGAGGTTGATTGAGAAGGAGAGGGCGATGATGATGGAGGAGCCATGGTGGGATGTGATGGTGGGATGTCGTTCTGTAAATACTAAATGCAGTGGGCTTGCGCCGGAGCTGTAATCCCTATACCAATACGGAGTACGGAGGACCGAGTACCAAGCCCGTAATACCTAATAGTACTGCAGACAGTCCAGTGGTCTGATGGTGGGGTTTGGCGGCTAAATCCGCGGGGAAAGGACTGCGGCCTAGGCTGTCGCTGCGCCCTGGAGAGGCCCTGGAGCACCCGCTATGCGCTATTCGCCGCCTGAGAGGCCCGCCTATGCACGTCACCAGACCTAGACCTCAGTCGAGCCTGTCGAGGGCCACGAGATCCAATGCGTGCTGCACGGAGGCCCAGAAAGCTGGAGACGACGGGACTGGGAGCTGATGACTGGAGCTCCTATTCGTTATCAGGGGCGTTGCTCCCCTGGGCTGTATGATAGGGCAGGCAGCTGAGCTCAATAGGTACCTATCGACAAGTGGCGAGTAGTCGTAACTCGGCCGCTACCAGCTATCTCGACGTACTCGTAGGTACAGTAGTATCGATGGGGATCCTTTGGGCAGTGATGCAGTCAGCCAATCTATTCTGTTTCTGCCTAGCTACCAGCCCATGCCATGTTACTGTCTCGAAACGCTGAATCCGGCGCAACGGAGCGGCTGATGGGAAGCAGTGGACTGTTGCTGTGCGGTCGCAGACACTCATACCTTGATGCTGGACGGAGCTAGTATTGAAAACGGCCAAACGGTCAAAAGGCTCGGACCAGAGTGACGACACAATACTCCGTTCTAAGTCGGTAAAAGAAAGAAAACAGCTGTCACTTGTAACCAAAGAGTCATACAGTACGTACGAGTATCGTATTAGGACTTGCATTCATGCATACCGGGGCAGTCCCGCCGCCTTTTTATCTGTCGCCATGCCATGTGCACCTCGAGCTTTGGCCGAGGCCCCGTCGGCTCACACGGCCAGCAGAGCCGACTGCTAGCACGGAGTAGACACGGGGTACTAAAATAGAGCCCTCCGTAGACGGTACCAGCAGATTGGCAGGGAGAGCCATTCGACCGTGCGTACATATACCCAAGGTGCCTTACTAAAGCGAGGCAAGTACCTGCAGGTACGCGTCCACGCCGGCTGATGGCCAACAGGCTCCATCATGAGACCTCTTTTATTATTCTCTCATGCCTCTCCAGGCTTCTTCATACAACTGTCGTCATTCTCGTATGTACTCTGTAGTGGTGCTATAATTTACTCCTCGCCAAGTTTGCTTTCTGAGAAGCACAGACATTTCCAGCAGCAATTCGTGACAAGCCGCCGACACAAACCGATCCTCGCACGGCCCAGAGCAATCAAAAAGTGAAAAATGCAGGATACTACCTACCTGGATGAGCTGTCGTCCAAGCCGGTACTTTTTCGAACCCCAGGTTTCAAAACGGCATGGCCCAACCCGATTGGACACGCCAAATGCAAGCCACGGATCCTTGAAGCTTCTCCTTTTCATCGGATGACACATAATTGTGGTTACGAATACCCTATGCGACATTGGCTCTCCTGGAATTGTTAGCCAAGAGTCAGGTACCGGCAGTGTAGATGGGCCCCAAGCCCCGTGGACAGAAAAAAAAACCTGGAATCCAGAGAATCCCCGCAGAAAAGCGGCTCGTGCTTGGTCCCCGTCTTTTTCACATGCCGCCGTCTTTCCCCTAGCGACGCAGCCCCATGGGTCCGTGAATAATACAGTCACGGAGGCAATATCCTACAGTGCAAGATACATGTACTATCAAATGTATTCCAGTGCTCTTAGGCAATCAATTTGTCATTGACAGATGCGCTGCTGTTGCTGCGAATGTCTGCTATATAATCAAATCCCAGAGAATCAAGAATGCGCATAGGCCGCTTGCCGCAAAAAACGTATATCGTGCCGTGCTTGGCCGCTGCGTAGCCTTTTTAAGCTGTCTGTTGCCGCCGCCAACATTATCCGCCATCGAGGCTGAATCTGCTACGAGCAACTCGATGTTTTCGGATTGCGCCGACAGGTTGTTGACCAGAAGCGTCTGAAGCTCTGAAATCTCCAGCAAAGACTTCTCTGCGGTTCTGCGGTGGCTCAATGTCAGCATTCCCAAATGTGCCTCAAGGGTGGACAGAGCCCAAGTGTTCTTGACCTACCTCACTTTATCCAATGTGCTTTCGTAGTGCTCCATCATGCTTTGGTTGCCCTCCTCAAACATCTGAACCTGTTCATCTGTCAAACCCTCTGTAACTGGGGCAGAGGATTCATCCATCCCGGGTGTGAAAGCGTCGCCTGACGGCTGCCGGTGTTGTTTGTGAGCAGCCGGGACAAACTCTGCAAAGTCCCCTACTGGCAACATGCTGCGGCTCTTTTCTAGCTCTCTGCGCAACCGGGTCTCCATCATATCTTGCTGCGTTCGACAACACAGCTCCAACCGCTGTCGTAGAAACCACAGCACGCCGTCTCGATAGCCTCCTAGCTGCAGGGCCTGCCCTTCGGCTGCGGCATGTTCCGCGGACTTGCTGCTAGCAATGCCGCCGGATGCCCACGAGCCGAGAGCACCCAGCCCCTTTGTGTACTTTTTGCGGATAATGACCGATTCGGTCTCTCGGCGAAGCTGTTCGGCTTCGTCTAGCGATCGTATGCTCGCATTAAGCTCTCGTATCATCTGCTTCGCATTGGCATCGACTTCTTCTCGTTCTCGATCGGATAATATTCGTGGTTGATTCTGGGCAAATCGAGCCTGTGCTCGGCGGGGTTGCGCCGTTGAGAGATACGCCTGCCGTACATCTTGAAGCTGTTGGTGCAGGCTTGTTATGTGCGAGTTCTGGATCGAAAACAGTCAGAAAAGACTCCCGAAAACCCCATCCGTTTAACCAGCGTTGACCAGACGAACAATTCGGTACGCTTCTTTGAGGAAGCTATCAATGTCATCCAGCGAGACCTTGTTGACAACTGGCGGAGCGTGGTGCTGCTGAAGCAGCTCGTTGAACTGCGCTGTGATATTCACAGCAGTTGATATTTGCAAGCTTGAGCTGTCCATGCTGTTGATATTTATCCGACGTTATTCAATCGCGCTTGGAAAAGCTGTCGCCAAAGCTGTTGCTAAAGCTGTCGCATTTGCACGTCATCTAGATCGTCAATTTCATTGGAGCTACGTATTGTGTAAGCTTTGGCAACGTTGCGGAATGCTTAGTCATCCTCGAATCCACTCGTCGTGGCACAACAACCCAAGCTGAACGATTCATTTGCAGATTCCGCACTCCGATCCAGTGGCTGGATGGCTCACAAAGATTTGCCCAAGATTGTTAGTTTCTTATTTTATTGGAAATGGATCCACACAGTCCATTGTCCGGATTATTTCCGCCAATATTATGCCACTTTACGATTCATGGAGCAGCCGTTTTGCTGCAAGTGCTGAGCAAAATGTCCGACCCATTTGGCCGTGGACTCCATCTGCTGAAATCTCACAAGCGACCTTTAGGGACTATTACGAGAACCCATGATGTGACAATGCTGAGGCGAGGCAGGGGGAATGCAGATTCGCGTCTTATACTTCCCAATGAAGATCACCCTCCCCTGATGGCCTAGTACGAGTACAAGCTTCAGTTACCGCCTCCAAGATCGGACTTCGCAAGCACAAGCCACAAGGATGCCGGCCACGAATATGCCGAAAAGCTGCAAATAATTCTGGTTTGCCGGGTATTGCCCCGTGCTTATACACGGATACTGCTTTTGCGGATCAGAGGCAGCATTAGCATTAGCACTACTGGAAGCGAAGCAATTGGACAGGCATCCAAAGAGGCAAAGAGGCAAAGAGGCAAGCGGGCGGCAGTCGGCTGGGCCGAAATCCTTTGATGAGACTCAGCTCGTTCAACCTTCCCTCTTCATACTCTCAATGCTGGATGCGGAAAATCATGATGCGCCACCGGAGAATATCGACGCTAATGCCAAAGCAACATTGAGTTGCGTGTGGGCGGGAGCTAACGGCTACAAAACTCTGTGATTCGTGGATGGAACAAAGATATCATGGGGTTTCCTTTCTTGTTCGGACGTCGACCGAGGAGGAAGGGGGCGTGACGGCGTGATGCTAACGGCAGGGGATTTATTTGTTTTTGTGTTTTTTTTTTCTTCCTCGCCTCTCCCTTACTGATTATTCCCGGGCCCTATAAACTACGTGTCTTAAGCAAAGACTAAATACAGGTACTGCCTTCGGTCGAGTATCAAGCGACCCGGGACGCCGCCGCCATCACGTCTTGGTAATCAAATGTCATGGTTCCCCGGAAAGCTTGAATTTTGCTTCGTTTCCTCGTATCTGCAATGCAAGGCATCTGAAATCCTGGCGGAACATTTGCCCCGATTCGAGCCAAGAGTCTCTGCGGCCCTGGATCAGACGAAAGCCGAGGAAGACACCGGCTTTTCGGGGGCAGATAACGGGCATCGACCGAATCTGTGGGGAAACCGAAGTTCGATCGTCCACAGCCAAGTGTCTCCGCTGCTACCCTACCGATCTGAAGCTGAGAGCATCTCCTCTTTCTTCTCCGCCTCCTCTTCCTTTTTTCTATTCACCATTCTACCCTGCCGCCTTCATCCATCTGGCTCTGTTAAAGTCGTGGCCAATGCGATTGCGTCGCCATGAAGCAAGATGAGACGACACAGCCGGTCGACAAGGAGACATGCGGGAGCATCTTGCCGGTAGAAGCCGAATCTGACATTGATCCTCTCGGGGACCAGAAGATTGCCCGGACTCCGGCTGCCGAGCTTGCAGATCAAAACGACGCCCGGCTGCCAACACGCCAAGCCCAGGGCGAGACGATTTTCAACGATGTCGAGCTGGGGACCAGACACGCGGTTAACGAGCCCTACAGCATCTTTTCCCGTCGCATGAAGATATGGATCACCATCATGGCAACCGTGGCCAGTGTGGTGTCTCCAATGACTGCACACATCTACTTTCCGGCACTGGATGCCATAGCCGAAGAGCTCAACGTCACCATTTCGCTCATCAACCTCACCTTGACATCCTACATGATCTTCCAGGGCATCTCGCCAACGATATTTGGTGATTTTGGCGACATGGCCGGCCGTCGACCCGCTTTTATCGTGGCCTTCGTCATCTACCTTTTTGCCAACATTGGCCTCGCCGTGCAACGCGACTACGCAGCCCTCCTTGTATTGCGATGCCTCCAGTCAGCTGGAAGCAGTGGTACCCTTGCTCTCTCGTACGCCGTCGTTGCGGACATCACGCCAACCGCCGAGAGGGGGAAGTACATGGGCTTTGTCAGTGTCGGAATCAACATAGGGCCGGCCATTGGTCCGGTGATAGGGGGGTTGTTGACTCAATACCTGGGGTGGCCATCTATTTTCTGGTTCTGTGCCATCTTCGTTGCGGTATGGCTGATTCCATGGGTTGCCACGATTCCCGAGATGTGTCGAAACGTCGTTGGAAATGGGACTATTCCACCCCAATCATGGAACATCACCTTGGTCGAGTTTCTGAAGAGAAGGAAATCGGGCGAGAAACCAGAACCTGGGCCCAAGAGAAAGATGCGGATTCCCAATCCCCTTGGCACTTTACTCATCACTTTCGACAAGCAGATGAGTCAGATCCTACTTATTGCAGCCATCATTTACTGCAATTTCATTCTCGTGGCGGCTACTCTGTCGACGCTGTTCACAGAAATATACAACTACAACGAGTTGGAGGTCGGGCTATGCTTCCTGCCATACGGCCTCGGATGCTGCTTAACCGTTGTTCTGCAAGGATATGTGGTGGACTGGAACTACCGCCGCATTGCAAAGAAGTTGGGAGTCGATCCGAGCCATGGGCGGAGAAACGAAATCGGCGATTTCCCAATAGAATCGGCACGCATTCAGCCAATCTACCCTTCTTTACTAGCAGGCGCTGCTGCCGTCATTGGCTATGGCTGGGCTTTGCAAGCGGAGACGAGCGTGGCCGTGCCACTCGTCCTTATATTCGCCATTGGCATGCTAGTTCCAAGCACTTTCAGCATTCTCAACACACTTATTGTTGATTTATACCCCGGCTCACCGGCCACAGCCGCAGCGGCCAACAATCTCGTCCGCTGTTTGTTTGGAGCCGGGGCCACTGCCGTTGTGGATTACATGATTGATGCCATGGGCCGAGGCTGGTGCTTTACGTTCCTAGCACTACTCATGGTAGCATGCCTGCCTTGGCTTAGATTTATAGAGAAGCGAGGTCCTCGTTGGAGGGCTGAAAAGTTGCAGAGGAAAAACAGCACTGACAGTGAACGAGAAGCAGAGTCAGGGGCGGCAGAGACCCAATGAGGCGATGTCCTTTATGACGACATGATTTTTTATTTATTTATTTTTATTTTTTGTTTTGTTTCCCTTTCCTTCATATATACACGGGGTTCAAGAAGAGCGTTGCATCGCATTTGGAACAGCATGGCAGCGGCGTTGGTAACTGGACAGTAGATCCGTCCATAGCATAATGTACACATGAAAGTCGTTATTACTATACTATTAATTTTGATAGCTTCTCTTCTTCACAAAGCTAGAATTGCGTGCTCTACAGGCTCTCTCAAATTTTCCCACATCATCCAGTCAGATCGTGTTGTCCTGGCAGCATGTTAGTAAATAACGATGAGGGAGGGGGGGAAGGTAAGTCCAATGAGTATAATTATGCTGTAAAGGGATTCAACATACGGTAATAGACCCATGGAGTTAATCTTCCAGATACCCACGGCCAGCGCCAGAAACTGCATCGCCACGTACACAAGCTTTGTCTGCAAGATCTGGCCCGAGTTGCTGTCGGTCTGGAAGCGCTCAAACGCCTGGTTCGTGGACATGAGGCCGACGATGGGGTTCTTGAAGGCCATGAAGACCATCATGATGCTGAAGATTTGCAGCGAGTTGCCCGACATGTACATCATGATGGCGGTCATGGGGAGGCCCTTGACGGGCGCGAGGGCGACCTCCCAGGCCTTTTTGAGCTTGAGCGTGTCTCTCTCGTCGGCGGAGGGGGGCTTCCGCGGCTGGGTCTTGACATCCTTTCCTTTCTGGAGGGAGAGCTCGGCGTTAGCTTTTTGGTACAGGTCTTCTTCTTTCAGCAGCCGTGCCCTGATTGACGTACCTTGGGGGCGGTGGGCGCTCCGGAGAAGCCTGGAGGGTCGACGATGCCGGCGACTTTGGACTTTGCGGCGGGAGGGGAGTTGAGCTGGGCGACCCAGTAGGGCTCGGCGGGGGCCTGATTGGAAGCCATTGCTGCGGAGGGGATTCTTGAGCTGCCTGATGCTGTCTCTCTTGCTGGCGGCTAGGTCATCGGCCTCGATCCGCGGCGAGCGATGCTGCGAAACGGTGGAATTGCCTGGAGCTGTCGATGCTTTGTGTCACTGCTGTTGCTGTTCTGTCCGAAAGCACCTACGAGTACGGCTAAGGTAGTGGTGGGTCGCTTAGCCCACAGCGCCTGTAATTAGCTGTACATCTTATCGATAGCCCCGGCCGCCAAACGCATGGCCCAGAGCCTCGCCTGCATACAGTACCGACCCTGCCGGCGCGCGCTTCCTCCTTTTCTTTTCCCATCACGGCTTCGCGACCTGGAGCCGCAAGAGAGCGCGAGATTCCCGTCTTCTCACGCCCACAGAACCGAACCGAACCCTCTCTCGCCCCTCGAGCTCCAATTACCCCGGAGACCCCCGATTTGCGACGTCTCGGACGGCCTTGCAGCGAACCGAAACGGCAGCAGGACGGCGCGCGTTGTCGGCAGCGATTGGTCAGCTCTCTTCGCTGCGATAACCGGCCACGACAAAGTACATGCGACGGTGTGAATTCGCCGAGACTTGGAAAGCTGGGCTCCTGCAACACTTGCGACATTCGCCTCGTGTGATTTGAGCAGTTAGCGGTGGGTGTGAGTGCGAGCGTGCATTACATACGCCACCCGGTTTCACACTTTAGCGGTTTAGCCAGCACATCGACAAGGCTCTATCGACGCAGTCTGTAGCTAAGGGGGGGGGATCTGCCGCCTAGACTGCTGCTGTCGTGTGTTTGGAGCTCTGATCAAGGGTGCCAACGGCGCGTGACGACACTCGGTTACGGAGCAACGATTCAGAACCAGGCCAAGGCCAAGCTGCGTAGCATCGATTCTGCGGGGGAGGAGGAAGTAAACTACTAGCTGTCGACACCATGTCCAACACCGCAGGTGGAGGGGATTCCAAGCTGTTCGCTCGAGTAAGCCCCCCTTTTCTTGTGTCTTTTCCCTCTCTATTTGAATTGGGATCTACGAGCGTCCGTTTGCTTCATCTTGCCTTTCACTATCCTGTCGGTTTTCCCTTGTGCGCAACTTTGTGCGCATTGTCACTGTTTACCACCATCTTCTTCACATTCGTTGTAAGGTGACGGTGACGGCGGCGACGACGACAGTGCCTGGACCGCGCTCTTTACGAGGCTGCGATAACTGCGCTGTGCCCAATCTTTCGGCGTCCGCCCCAACAATGACATCCCCTGTTGCGCAACTGCGCAAACTGATAACATGATGGCTGTCCCCCTCGGCTTCGTCTACATGCCGAGTGTTTCGCTCAATAAACTAAGAACGTCGCAGGGCAAAGTTGCGGAGCTGCGCCTCGAGCTGAACAGCGGCGGAAAGAAGGATAAGAACTATGCGACCAAGAAGATTGCGCTCAAGAGGATTGTGGCCAACATGACGATGAGCAACAACGACATGGTTGCGCTGTTTCCCGACATCATCCAGTGTATGCACATCTCGAGCTTGGAGATCAAGAAAATGTATGCCCCCGCCTAGGCTATACCTATACCTATACCTATACTATTTCGGATGGATGTTACGAGCAATGCTAATACTCTTGTTCATAGGTGCTTTCTGTACTTGGTCAACTATGCGCGAGTTCGACCAGAGATTGCGGTTAACGCGATTCCGATATTAGAACATGTGAGTCCAACGATAGAGCGCGAAAGGCAAAATATCTAGATCTTCATCAGGAAGCTAATCGATGGAATTAGGACATGGAAGACTCTAATCCCTTGGTTCGAGCGCTGGCCCTGCGGACCATGTCCTATATCCACGTGCGCGAGTTCGTTGCAGCCACGGTCCCTCTGGTTAAGCATATGTTGAGGGACTCGGACCCATACGTACGAAAGACGGCCGCATTCTGCGTTGCAAAGCTCTACGACCACGACAGGCACATGGTGGAGCAGTCGGACCTCATCGATCGACTCAACTCCCTGCTCAGGGACGACAACCCCACCGTCGTTGCCAGTGCGCTGGCTGGATTGATGGACATTTGGGAGAGGAGCGATGCCATCAAGCTGACCATTGACTACACCAATGCCTCCAAAATGGTTGCCATCCTGGCCGACTGTTCCGAGTAAGTCCACCTTTTATCTCTAATTGCGATGGGTGTTTTTTAACGTTTGGCTAACCACCCGTCAAGATGGGGTCAGACATACATCCTAGAGGCACTCATGTCCTATGTCCCTCAAGAATCAGGAGAAGCTTCGCTTCTGGCAGAGAGAATAGCCCCTCGGCTCTCTCATTCCAACTCATCAGTTGTCCTGACCTGCATCCGAGTGATTTTGTACCTGATGAACTATATCTCGGACCAGAAGCAGATTTCGGCACTCTGCAAGAAGCTCTCTCCGCCTCTCGTGACGCTGTTGGCCAAAGGCCCCGAAGTGCAGTATCTCGCACTTCGAAACGCCCTCCTTATCCTGCAAAGACGACCCGAGGTGTTGCGAAATGATATCCGCGTCTTCTTCTGCAAATACAACGACCCGATTTACGTCAAGGTTACTAAGCTGGAGCTCATCTTCATGCTGGCTAATGAGAAGAACATTGATGAGGTTCTCACCGAGCTGAGGGAATATGCCACTGAAATCGACGTCCATTTCGTGCGAAAGGCTGTTCGCGCCATCGGCAAGCTCGCCATCAAGATTGAGCCCGCGGCCCGACGATGCATTGATCTGCTCCTAGAGCTCGTGGCAACCAAAGTCACATACATCGTCCAGGAAGCCACAGTGGTGATTCGAAATATTTTCCGCAAATATCCAAACCAATATGAGTCCATCATTGGCACTCTCTGTGAGCATTTGGACTCACTTGATGAGCCAGAAGCCAAGGCCGCCATGGTTTGGGTCATTGGCCAATACGCAGATCGCATCGAAAATAGCGACGCGTTGCTAGAGGACTTTTTGTATTCGTTCCACGAAGAGCCTGTAGAAGTCCAGCTAGCGCTTCTCACTGCAACAGTCAAGCTTTTCATCCAGAGGCCAACCAAAGGCCAGGAGCTGGTACCAAAGGTCCTCAAGTGGGCCACCGAGGAAACAGACAACCCCGATTTACGTGATCGAGCATACATGTATTGGCGACTGCTGTCGACCGACATGAATGCAGCAAAGAACATTGTCATGGGAGAGAAGCCTCCAATCACAGCAGAGTCGGAACGGCTGGAGTCGTCAACGCTGGAGGAGATGTGTCTCAACGTCGGCACCCTGGCAACCGTGTATCTTAAACCTGTGCAGTCTGTGTTCCGCTCTGCCAGGCCACGAAAGCTGATTGCTTCTCCGGCACTGCAGAAGCAATATCTTTCCAACGACATTGAAACCCAGAAGAGCATCAGCATGTTCGGCAACGGCAGCCAGCCTACGAATATCGATCTAAGGACGCGACATCCCGGCCCTTCAGCCCCTGCGCCCGTTGCCAATGGAGGAGGCAACCTTGCACAGGCAGTCAACGATGCAGATGCCTACTTTTCCAGCATTGGGACGCAGCAGATGGCAGCCATGAGAATAGACGGTGGAGACGATGGGTTCGGCGGTGGAGGCGTTCATGGTACGGGCTATGTGGTGAATGCCCTGGCGCCACAGGCCGTACTGCAGCCGGCGCATGGCGAGGGAAGCAACGGCGACTTGTTGGTCCTGTAAATGGAATAAGCGTGGACTGGTAATACAAGAGAGGAGCGGATTGCCTTGAGACGAAGAGATGCCGAATCACGGGATGAGCTGATGCTGTTACTTATTACAGGGTATTTTACATACCTTGGTTTGAGGAGCGTTGTACGATCTGGTTTAGAATGTAGCCTACCTTACCTATTGACTGCAAATAGTTTTGAATGTATACTTTTAGTTACAGCAGCAGGATACCTACCTTGATATATGTCAGGAGTCAGTCGTGACCAAATTGTCGGATTGTTTCTTCTGGTAGATTCGAATCGCAATCTAATAAGCCAAGCTATACCGCTATCGACGTTGCTTGACAAGAAAAAAGATATTCGGTTTAGTACAGCAGGGTTTTTATTATCTCGTGGTCTTCAAGTCTGCCTTGTGGACCCAGAACAGCAGCATGACATGCCGTCTGCTGTGGGGAAGCGAGAGGGTCTTGGGAGATTGACGTGATGGTATGGGTTATTTGCGGGACTTGGCTGCAAGGTGCGTGCAGTATCGTAGCATCAGACGACATCCGAGCTATATACTCGTACTTGTATATATAATATTTCTGGTATCTCTACTGCTATAAACACATACTATTACCCACTGGTCGTGCTAACAATGGCAATGCGTGTACTTCGTGTCCCCTTGCTCTTCGATGAAGTCTCCCATAGATGCTCGCCTCAAGACGCCTCGATAGGGGAAAACTTGTTGCATCGAAAACGGGGAAATGCCAGTTTCGGCATGAGGATTATTAGGGATTGCCGGCGTCAGCTTACAAGGTGCACATAGCGTGGAACAAGGCATGAAGACGGCAATCTCCTTGGTGTCTACTCCGTACGAAGGAAGAGCGTTTCCTTCTTGAAATGAGGGATACGCGGCTTTTTGTGCGAGCTTGCCCAGTCACTAGATTGCATCTGGGGTATCACAAGATGCACTACCATCCCCCTGCACGGCACCTCTCGCGGGCCAAATGATAATTGCCTGAGCCTTGTGGGGACATCGCGGCCGGGAACGACGGCAGCAAGCGGAGCTCATTTAGAGCATCAGAAACAAAGGCATTGCGTTTGCGCTTCATGGTGTTACAATTTTGTTTTAATTATTTTTTTTACTTTAAAGGTGACATTCTGTTACGAGAGTATTTCGTACCTACCTTAGTCGATATTTTTTTAGAGTTCGTGTGCCTGTCAGACGAGAACGCTGAGGGGGCTGGGAAGAAAGAGGCGTTCGTTAGGCTGGTGGTGTTCCTGGTACGGCGCTGGAGGATTGGATGGCACCGACCGGATAACAGACATGCCCTGTAGAGCGCGTGTAACCTCGATTAGGGGGAAACGGGTAAGACAACTAAGCCTAGGTAGCGAGTGCGAATGGACAGAATACTAAGGTACCGTGCTATGGCTTGATGCTGAAGCGCTGAACATACTTGTAGTACGTTTTAGCACTCTCGCCGTCGCAATCATGTCGGCGATTGCAGTGGGGGAGAGAACTAACAAACAGCCACAAGTCGACTTGATCTCTGCTCGAGTCAAATACTCAATATTCTTCAGCGTGTAAAGAGTCAGGATGCAGCTGGTGCTATCGCTAGGTATGTAGATGGCGTCAAGGACGGTGAGCCCGTGTCAGGTAGCGTGCCGTCGGCTGCGGAACGGTCGTCTCCGACAAACGCCCCAAACCCACCGCCCCCCCGTCGTCTAAGAGAAATGGGCTCTGTTTCGCTCTGTTTACTGTGTCCCCCCGTGCTGTTTATTTATCTGGCCCAGCCGAGGATGGAATCGTGCATCGTTGCCCTGGCTCTGGCGTGTGACGGTTGGCTTGAGACGGCAACGCCTTCCCGGGTAGGAAGGTTGAGAGCGGCAGATGGTTGGCTGGTGCCAGGGAGTTTATCATGCATGAAGAAGCCGATGTGGGCGAGATTGGAGCTTGAGAGGAAGCGGTGCGTCAGTATGAAGTGTTTACTGCAGGGCGAGCCCACTAGCCGCCGGCAATCATGAAGAGCGGAAGTTAAACGTCCAATGTTATGGCGCCATCTTCGCCTCATCTGTACAAGTATGTAAATGTATGGCAGGCTTGGCATGGAAGTGCGCAGCACCAGGCCAATGTGCGAGTTCTGGTGCGCCACCAGCGAGAGGGTTTGCCTTGCCTTGTAGCGTCGTCAAGTGCAGAGTGTGTACTTCGTAATAAGTTCGTATCTGTAAGATTAAGCAGAGACAGACGGGACGTCGATGACAGGATATTTAGCCACGTTCCGAGATTCGATCAGATCGGGCTCCAGGTCTCGGCGGCAGTTGTGTCTCGTCTCAGACTCAAGATTAGCAGCACGCAGACGGCAAATGGAGGGATGCCAGCAATACTGTGCCGTAATACTGTGCAGGTACGCGGTAGTCTGTCAAGTCTGTATCTGATGTGGCGACCGGCCACCACGATTTGCAGCTGTATGTAGACCTGTTGTGATGTTTGAGTTGAAAGCACAACGTAAATATGCAAAATCTGTAGCTGCTGTGGCTCTTGTTTTATCCCAATTCCTCGAGACAAGCTGCCGTCCCTTGCCTGCCATCCGGCTCCCAGCCTTAGGTCAGCAGCGTCTTACCAGGCGTCAAGCGGAAGGTGCCTAAGGTGTCTATCTGCATCAAGCTTCTCACCGACTAGACGGCAGAAACAAGGTGTGTTTTTGTTGAGACAATGCCGGGTAACCACTGACCTTACCTTTGCTCCAACCTACAATCATCGTTGCCTGCGGCCTTCATCAAGAACACCGTCCGTCCATTCATTTCTTACCACGGAGCACCGGACCACCTGCTGCCCTGCTGCCCTGCTTCCCCGCGCCACTGCGTTCGTCTGGTGTCCCTACTCAAGCTACTGTATGCGGCCAATTGGCGTGCCTTGTCCGCGCTATAGTGACAGGGGTCTGCTCGGCCGCATTGCTGTGATTACCTGGGAATACGGAGTCCGCTTCATGCTGAGATAGCAATAACTCGTACTCTCACTTTCGCCCGTTCGCCTGCGGCTGATCTCCGCTTGCTCTTCTATCTTTTCCTAGTTGCTTTCAGCACTTTTCCCTCTTCCCTACCCTTGCCCCTGCACCCGCAGCTGAGGAAAAACAGGAAAGACCCCAAGGCTCACCGAACTAGGGCGCTCATTTCCACTCCCAAGCGTCTCCGTCCGTCGTTGAGGCGTGCGCTTTTCCGCCTGCATCGGGCAAAGTTGTCTCAGTCGACAGAAGCAGCTCTCTTGAATTCTCAGCAGCGCTTGATTTTCGCTAGCGCATTCGTCGTTCGTTCGCTTTGCATTCTAGCCGGAGTCCCGCTCGCCGTTTCCCTCCCCCCACACCCCCGGAAGTTGAATCTGGGCTGGTCGCTGAGCCTGCTGCTGGTTCGTTGATTGATCTGCCAAGTCGTCGACTGGGTTTGTTCCAACGGCGCCTTTTTCCCTTTTCCCTTTAACATCCATCTATCCATACTCCCTGCGCAGCCAGCCTCCGGTCACGACCGTCAAGCCCACCGTGCTGCATTGAAACGCTCGTTACCACCCTAGCGACATACAGGTTTTTTTTACGCGCCCTATTCTCCGTGGATGAATTGAGTCGTTTTATACGCTCCTTTGTCGACGTCGCCAACCCCTTTGGTGGTGCTGCACCGATCCCGCATTCCTCGCGCTTCGCCACGGCGCCTCCCTACTGAAACATGTCGGCTCCTACGGATTCGACCACGAACGGTGGTAGCGCCGCTCCTGGTAACGACTCGGGCCTCGAGCAACCTACCGATGCTGTGCAGATGAAGAATATCCCTCAGACATCTGAGGCGGATGAGAAGCCTGGAGACGAGGCGATAACCGATGCGGCCAAGGACACTCCTGCCGTCGCGACGCCATCTGCCGACCCTGAATCTACTGACCAAGCCAAGACATCTGCTGTGGACTCATCATCAAAAGGCAAGCAGATTGACAATACTCCTGAGTCTGCGGTCGAGCCAGAGGCTCTGAAGGACGAGGAAGTCAACAAGGACAACACCAAGGACGATACCGCTCAGCAGGAGGTTGCCAAGCAAGACGCTCCCAAGGAGGATAGCCCCAAGGAAGAAAAGTCCCAAGAGGAAAAGATTGAAGAGTCAGTCATGGCCATCGGCCCTGCTGAAGAGGAGATCAAGCCGGCTGGATCTGGTCCTGATGGCCCAGTTTGCAACATTACCTTGCTGCTAGCGTCTGGTGGCCGACACCCATACAAGATTGACGCGAAATATCTGAGCAGAAGGCACGTCGCCATGCCCGACCAGGATGAGAGCGGTAACCCCGATCCTTTCAGCATCAGCATCTACACATTGAAGGAATTGATTTTGCGGGAGTGGAGATCCGACTGGGAGGCCAAGCCGGCCAGTCCCAGCAGCATACGGCTGATCCATTTTGGCAAACTGCTGGATGACAAGGAGCAGCTGAAGAGTATGTACTGCCCATTATCCAATTTCCTTTTCATCCCCGTCCTTTGAAGTTTACTCCTCGCTATTTCTTACTCATTCTTGTTCCAATGCTTACACTAGCCGCAGAATATCAGTTCAGTCCCGATAGCCCCAATGTGGTCCACATGAGCATCCGGCCCCAGGATCTTGATGAGGAGGAACCCAAGTCTGGCAGCAAGAGCCTCCCTACTGGCGCCACAGATGGGGACCGCGTACGAGAGGGCCGTTGCTGTGTCATTCTATAAAGCAATCCTAGCGTGTGGTACGAACAGCGCTGACTGTTTCGTATTTTGTGCTTTCTCTTGTTGAAACATACGGTGGCAATTATACGTGTTCGGACGCTACAAGGATGTGTTTGCATAGACCCTTGTCTTTTGAGACGGGTATCTGGGCCAGTGCTCAAGTGGTTTCTGAAGTTGCACTGACTTGCGTGAAAGCACTCAGCGATTCAGCACCACCTGTGCGCGAAAGAGCCCAGTGTCTCTCATTCATATTTGCCTGCTGTTTTTGCAGCTGCTTTATGCTGCCTTGAGCTTTTTAGTACTCCCTCCCCCTTTTGCGTGTGTTTTATTATTGGTTTTATTTTATTTTATTTTACTTTATTTTATTTTTCGTTTAGCCATTCAGGGAAGCAGCGCGATGGGAATTCAAGACGCGGAAGAATTGGGAAAATAGGGAGTCATAACCGGCGCATCATCATGTCATTGCTTCATGTACAATTGTAACCTCTGCTTCGGTTCTCATACGCTCTTTTTTTTACTTAATAGTAGTGGACTTAGTCCCCAGAAACGGGGATGACTGTTGCTATAGCAGGATAGAAATGCAGAACATATTATTATCATGATGATGCATCGTGTCGATACAGCATATGCAAATGATGATTGCGGTGATGTCTCTTGTCTTTTGTTTCATTATGTTTTTTTCCTTTTTGGTTATAAATCGTTAATCTATTTCATGTAATTGGGAAGCAGAATCCTGTATCGTCCTAGAAACGACCCTGTCTAACCGGCATACATATGGGTGCTTTGATTTTCCTTGTTATTCTTCCTTCATTACTGGCCTTGTCCCATTTAGTGAATCTTGAGCTTCTTCTCCATCTCGTCGTGGAATCCAGGCACGGATCTCGTCTCGCTGCCGGTGAAGACGTCATCCCAGGTGATGGTGTCCTCGCGGCCCTTGAGGATATCCTCGTGGACGCTGGGCAGTCCCGCGCCGAGGGCCAGGGGCCGCCACTCGCCGTCGCGAACAATCTTGAGCTCCATGCCGCGGCGGATGGGCTCGGCGATGCCAAAGGTGCGCCTGAGCGTCTCCATGCGGACGGCCTCCTGGGTGGCCTCCCAGCTCTTGAGGCGGGCCTCGAGGGGGTGCGATGACGCGGGCTTGTTGGCGGCTGCGTCAAAGGGGGAGATGCCGACGCCGTGGCGGAGGGTGTCGTGGATGCCGGGGGCGGAGGGGGCGGAGGAGGAGTGGTTTGTGTGGTTGAAGGTGGAGGGGGCGCCGGAGGCGGGGACGATTCGCATGGACTGGAGGAGAGAGAAGAGAAGAGAGAGTTGGTTAACTTGAGGACAGAGGGAGAGGGAGAGGGAGAGAGAGCATGGACGAATGGATGGATGGCCTTACCATGTTGGCGGTTATGGAGGATGCTTTGCTTTAAAGGACAGGGAGCGAGGCGGTGGATGCTGAAGAAGATGCGCTCGTGTGACGGTTGCTGCGTACAAGTAGGCAGACTAATCGGGTAATAACAGAAGGAGAAGAGAAGATGGTGGTCTGGCGTCAATCCTGGTCTGGCGATAATGGATTGATGGTGTTGAGTGTTGCTTCTCTACTGCTCTCAGACACTGACAGGCTCCAAGCAGCCTCGCGTCCAGCTCAAAGGTCCCCACATGCCTTCTGCGAAGGAGGGGTACGTATCTTTTGTCATCCTGCTTGAGGAGGCACTAAACCCAAAGGGGGATCCAAGAGGTACCTCGAGAATACCCTGGAGTGCGGCCCGATCGCGGAGAAAGCTGGTGTCAACATCAATTCCATGTGATGGGCTCTAATGAGTCGAAATAAGCTGCCGATTTCTCCTGCGTGGATTCTCTACTTTTTGTTGTTTATTGCCCTTTATTTTGATTCTGTGGGAGTCCAATTGGGTGTATAAAGTGTCTTTAATATCTTTCCATCTCCCCGATTCCAATTACACTACACCATTCAGTATTAGATCGTCATAGAAGAGATTGTAACGTCATATTGAAGAGCTCTCAATCATGCTCAGGAATCTCCCGCCTTCAGCGCGATCGCCCATCATCCGCATCGCCAATGGCACATTCTATCGGCATCATCCCAATTCGCAGTCACCGCATGCCAATCCAGCCCTGTTCAAAGACCTCCAGTTTGAGCTGCCCTCGTCAACATCACAGCCGCACAACTGGTGCATCGTGGGACCTTCGCTCTCCGGAAAGACGACCTTCCTGCAGGCACTGAGGGGAAGATTGCTATGCGAGCCTCCCACAGCGAGGTCGTATCCGTATCTGTCGTCGGATGCTGTATCGTCCAGGCTGAGGACTCCCAACAAGGCGATTCAGTATGTGGGATTCGACGCCGAGCAGGGGGCGGGAGGCTTGAGCGGTGCGGTAACGACATCGGCGTATCTTTCTGCGCGGTACGAGTCTCGTAGGGAGATTACTGACTTCTCGCTGAGAGACTTCTTGCTGGGCAACACTGAGCTGAACCCTGCTAAGACACCGTCCCAGGAGAGCGAAGCAGAAGGAGGAATATCGGCCGAGCTGCTGAAGCGTGTTGTCAAGGATCTCAGACTGGAGCATTTGCTGGACCTACCTGTGACGTTTCTGAGCAATGGCCAAGGCAGAAGGGCAAGAATAGCCCGTGCATTGCTGACGAGGCCCGAGGTCTTGCTTTTAGATGAGCCTTTCATGGGGCTTGATCCTCCGACGGTTACGGGGCTCAGTCCTTTACTGGAGTCTCTTGCTGAAAAGGCAAACCCGCGGCTGGTATTGAGCGCGAGGCCCCAGGATCCTCTACCAGAATGGATTACGCATCTGGTGTACTTGAGGATGGATTGCCAAGTAGAGTCAATGGGGCCCAAGGAGGTGGTGCTGGATGGCTTGAAAAAGTACGTTCACGGTGTGAGGATTGGTGGACTGGCGGAGGATGAGAAACTGCCTGTCCACACCCTGGCTGATATCGGACGAGTTCTGTCGAAAGACTCTTTGACAACTCACGCCTCCTCATCGGCATCTTTCCATGTACAGAAACCTGTCAATCCCAATGCCGAACCTCTGGTTGAGATGGACGGATGCCAGGTCCGCTACGGTGACAAGATTGCTCTTGGAAACTGGTCGCAGAAGACACCTCAAGGTGATAAAGCAGGCTTGATTTGGACTGTTCGACGAGGCGAGCGCTGGGGCGTGTTTGGGCCCAACGGCTCAGGGAAGACGACAATTGTCTCCCTCCTCGGATCAGATCACCCGCAGACTTACTCTCTGCCCATCAAGCTCTTTGGGCGCAGCCGTCTCCCCGAGCCAGGCTCCGGACAGCTGCCGCTCACGTTTTGGGATATCCAGTCTCGCATCGGCCATTCCAGCCCGGAAGTTCACCAGCACATGCCGAGGAGCCACACAATCAGACAAGTGATTGAAAACGCCTGGGCAGAGACTTTTGGCGCAAAACCAAAGCTGAACGCCGAGGCGACGGCGAAGGTCGAAGCCGCGCTCAAGTGGTTTGAGCCGGAGCTGAAGCCCAACAGCGCCGCTGGCAGCGAGGGCCTGAAATGGGCCGACGATTACATGTTTGGCGAGATTTCGTTTAGTGCGCAGCGCGTGGCGCTGTTTGTGCGATCCATGATCAAGGGGCCTGATATTGTTGTCTTGGATGAGTCGTTTAGCGGCATGGACGACGCTGTCCGGGATAAATGCACGCTGTTCCTCACCGACGGGGAAGCAAAGACGTATGTGGGCGAGGAGATTGTTGAGAGCCAGCAATCCAAGGATGGCACCATCAAGTTGAAGGGCTTGTCGGATCAACAGGCGCTCATTTGCATTGCGCACATCAAGGAGGAAGTGCCGGACTGTGTGAGAGAGTGGGTTTGCTTGCCGGAGGCGAACACGGAGCAGCCTGCAAGGTTTGGAAGGCTGGATGGCGCGCTGAGAGAGGAAGAGGGGAGATGGAACGAGATTTGGGGGTTTTGAAAAAAGAGAAACTGGTTGGTGTGAGTTTGTAGCTGCGGCTTTGTATAAGTGATAGTTGGGGCATTGGGATGAAGCAGGTTATAGGATTGAAAAAGTCGGTATCTACGTGCAAGATTCATTGTAAAGCTGCTTTTTAACTCCAGGATTCGCCTCTATAAGAACATTTAATTAATTCCACCTATTGAAAAAAGAAATAAAGTTATATTAATATATGTCAATGTAAAGCCCAATTCGTGAAATGTCTCGTGATGCTGTTGTGCTCATATGATAGATGATACATACATGGTAGCTCTGCACGTGAGCTCTGGGGGCGCTTCACGACGTCATCTTAGCTCTCAACTTCGCCTTCTCAAAACCTCAAGCAACTCCATCTTTTTTCACCCATTTTCATAAATCGCGCCTAATAACTACCTTAAACACAATAGAAAACCCCCAAACTCCGAAGAAAAATCGAATGATTCTTATAAGAGCATAAAAAACACCAGCATCATGACTGACGAAGAGGATCTCACCCCAAAATGCTGCGCTCCATTCCTCGCTCTCACAGAACCCATCGAAGTCAGCGAGCTAGGGTACGTCAAAACCCGCCTTTCTCTCTTCCCCCCCTTTACGCTTCTCTATTACATGACGACGTAAATCATTTGGAAGGTAGAAGGCTCGTGCTAACAAAGCTATAGATCAGACGGGCTCGACAAATCCGCATTTTTCAAGTGGCCGTGGCCCAGCCCGCTCTTGTTCATCAACGAAAGTAGCGATGCGCGAGACCACTGCGCCAACGAGCGAAGTTAGTTCATCTCCGATAACTCTCTCTCTCTCTCTCTCTTTTTTTTTCTTCTTATTTCAAACGTTTGAGCAACCCTTATTTTACTCTGTTCGTAGCTAAATATCGCAGCCTTCCTTTCGTACCTCCGCCTGTCGATATACATGGCCATCGTCTCCGTCGCCATAACCGTCTCGTTTCACATCAAGGGCACGCCCAGCGATCTCGAGCGCCGGGTGTCGAAGCCGCTTGGTGGCATTTTCTGGGCATTGTCTGTTGTGACGCTGGCTCTGGGAGCGGGAAACTATATCAGTGAGCTTCGCCTTCTTTTTTTTCAACCATCTCTCCCTAGCCTCGGTTTCAAATGCCTACAGATGGGAACTAACCGCAGCCGTCATCTTCTTGTCAGGGACCGTCAATTTATATGGCCGAAGAGCCGCTATTGTGCAATCTGGTTGGAAGACTCAAGTAGTAAGTCTGAATACTTCTGTCCAACAACAAAAAAGTGCATTGCATTGACTCCACTGTCGCAGGTGTTGGGTGGGATAGCAGTTTCAATTATTGGAACATGCATCATACTTTTGGTCATAGATAAAGTACGTCAAAGATGACGATATTCAGCAACTTGGTACTTCGAGATATCATACACAATCTTCTTTACTCTGGTCAAGTCTGGCGTTTTCCCCCCTTCTCTTGGAATAAACGACTCCCAAAAAGGATGTATATACATTTGCCCGTTAATACAAAAAAAATGGTCAAAAATATCACAAAATGATAACACCACCGCTTCAACATAACTCCAAAAATCGCCATAACACCTCATAATGCGCCATACCCCACTCAAATCATCCCTTGGTAAAACAGAACAAATCCCTAGCATACGAATCAACAACCGGAACAACGTCCATACTTTCATCTTTGCACTGCCCGACTTGGCTGCGGAACGCCTGCTTGTAATTGGCAGCAATCTTCTGAATAGCACCGTCATACGTCTCTTTACCATCCCACGTCAGCCAAGGGAGGTGGTAGAGGAGCGGCAACTCGCCCTCATGCGGCAGAGTCGCCAACATATCTACTTGCGATGCGGGATCGAATAATTCCGCAGCAAGCTTGATAGAGTCTTGTCCTTGCTCGGAATCCTCCTCTCCTTCATATTCCTCAGGCACATCATGGAGATCGGTGTGAACGCCGATAATGGCATTGGCGGTCTGCTGGGTAGGGTAGACGGTAAAATATCCCCGAATTCGCGACAGCTGAAGCGTGTATTCCAGCCAAGAAGGGTGTTTTTTGCCAACCTCTTTCTTGGCGAGGAGATCTGGTGTTGTCGACGAGGCATGCTGCTTCTCTAAAAGCTGAGATACATAGCCATGAAGCTCTATCCACTTATCCCCCAGGATAAGAATCGCATCGCTGTTGGGGGCCTGCCAAAGGAAGGGAGTGCCTTCTGTGTCAAATTCCTGTCCCTCGAGTGGTTTTGGAGGTACAAATTGGGTGGTATCGTCGAGATACGTTGTTGGTGCCGAGAAGCTGATGCCGAAGAGTTTACTTTCCCAATCCTGTCGAGATGCAATCGTGGAATACCGCCGCTGCAGGAGGGAATACTTGACATCTTTGATAAGTTAGTATAACCGGAGCCTATTGGCCAAAATTATGGAAAGAGAAAGAACGTAAAAAGGGAACCTACAATGGAAGAACTGAAAAGTCACTTCGGTGTGAGGCGACAGAACCAAGACGTGAGAGTGAGACGGTTTGGTCGGCCAAAATGACTCGAGGAACCTGACAGAGCTCTCCTCTTCGCTCAATTTCTGCCTAGGGATACGATGGCGAAGCGAGAGAAGCCGTGGCTTCGGACCTGCGCTGGGAGCCTTGGATGGCCATTCATATCCGCTTAAGAAATTGCTCAGGTCTTGTTCGATCACTGTTGGAAGCTCAATGGTCAAGTGAGGCGGAGACACGCCAGCCAAGTCAGCTCTAGCCAGAGATCTAAGAAGCCGCTTGAGGTTTCCTGTGCCGTGCGGAGGGGCATGGATGAGAATGTCAAAGCTGACATCATTCCACGCTTTCGCAGAGTTGTCGTTAGAACCAACGTCATTCAAGGTAATTACGCATGGAAACGTGCTGCCTTACCTGCCAGTGCAGAAGCGTCAAGCTTCGACAGCCACGAGAATCGAGTGCCCGGCCTCTCTGGAAGCTCAATCAGGGTAGATTCCATGCCTCGGACCTCGTCGCGAATGCCAGAGAGGAAATAGTGTTCCTCGGTGGCCGTAGAGTCTATGATGATGGCTTGGGGGTGCATGTAAAGATTGATATAGTCTGGAAGAGGCTGCCTGTTAGAATTACATCCAGCAAAGAGCTTGACATTGGATTCTCTGGTTTAAGCTTACATAGAGCTCGGGCCACAGAAAGAGACATCCGTGCCTCCGTTGCTATTGTGGAATGGTCAGGGCGAGCATCTAAATATCCAAGTATATCAGCATTGTCGAGATCCTCAGCCCAGTAGATTTCAGTGGGCAACATAGTTTTATCGTACCATGTACAATCAAGGGGCATCCCTTGTCGATGCCGTTTATCGCGAGCAATTCTTTCATGGGCACGTCACTCCTGCTCATCAAGGCGAAATGTACATAGTTCTGGCGCTCCGTGGCCATCTGACATGCCATTGGGAGCAAGAGTGCCGCACTCTGAAGATTAGCAGCTGCGAATAAGACGTTGCGATTCTTCGGTAGTCTCCCCGACGTGTCCGTGATGACGGCTTGCAATGACGGGCCCAAGTTCGGGAGCTTCAGCGGTCCATTGTACGTCTTGGGAGCTTCTGCCGCAACTTTGCTTTCATCTTTTCCACTCCCACTGTCGCTTTGAGGTTTAGCTTGAGGCTTCAGTGGCTTGGGGGCCTTTGGCGTCTTGATTGTAGGCTCCTCTTCCTCCATCCGAGGCGCATCGTATCTGGGAGGCGGCCGTGGCCTATCATACATGGGCATCAAGTTCACCGGATCGAGAGACGAGGCCCCTGGAGCAGGCCCGATGACTCTGAACAACCCATATACCAGCATGAAGAGAGCAACGGCGTATACAATAAGCCGAAGCAGCGCGGTCAAGCGTAGAGAAGATTTGGGCGCAGATTGCCACTGATCAGACTGCTTGGCGTGCCGAGGCAGGCCAAGATCATCATCCTTTTTGTTGGCCATTTCCTCGTCGTCGTCGCGCCAGAGCTGCGACAAGGACCAGCCGCGGGTTGCGGGAGACGGCATGATGTCTTGGACTTGGTAGCTCGACTCAGCTCAGCTCAGCTCAGCTCAGCTTTGCTTGCAACAAATCAGGTGGAAATGGCTCTGGCAACAGCTTGTCACATCGCGGGATTGTATCAGCCCCAGCTTGTTCTCGTCGTTTCAATCGAGAGCTTCCCAGCGATGCGGCCTTGAGGAAATACGAGAGGTGAGGGTAATGAAGAGAGAGATGAAAACGGGTGTTGTGGCACTTATGCCCGTTTTGGGGAGCTCGTCGTTGCATAGAGGCCCTGATTAGATAGCGAACTGTGGCGCAAGTGGGGAGCCCGTTGTAGCGCTTAAGCAGTCATGCTGGTGGCTGATACTTGACTTTGGATGATGTCAATAGGCGGGCAGGGATGCTGGAGCAACGCTAAAACTACAGGGCGTAGAGCTCTAAAACTGTTCGCCTAACGCACTAATGCGCTGTTGAAAAGCACTGTAGTTTTTAAGCGTAGACATCCATTGATGTTTTTGGAAGGCTCCGAACTCAATGTGGAGGGGGAACCTTGCCATGGTGGGGTACGACCAACAGTGTTAGTGCAAAAAAGAAAAAAAAAAAAAACTTTTGATATTTCATGCATGTAAACAGTTTCATCAACAACACCAACATCAATACCATTCATTACTTCCAAAACAAAGGCCATATTCTTTCATCTCATTAATCACTCATATCGCATCATCCTTTCCAATCCCATTTACTCTCACGCATTGACGCCATGGGCAAATCAAAGAGAACCAAAGGCGGCAACCGCAGCGATCCCGTAGCCAAAGCCGTCAAGCCTCCCTCAGATCCTGAGCTGGCCGCTCTGAGAGAGAGCAAGATCCTGCCCATCATAAATGATCTGAAAAGCGCCGATCCTAAATCTCGCTCTGCCGCCGCTTCTCTCATTTCAAGCATCATCCAAGACACAAAGTGCCGCAAGCTACTACTGAGAGAACAGATCGTCTACACCATCTTGACACAGACTCTGACAGACGCTGCCCTTGAGAGTCGGGCTGCCGGATGGGGAATCTTGCAAGTCTTGGCCCAGGAGGAGGAGGCTGATTTCTGTGTCCATTTGTTCAGACAAGATGTGTTGACGGCAATTGAATTCGCCGCAAGGCTGGTAAGTAAATTCAAGGTTAACTCACTAGCTCAATCACTTACTAAATGGGCAAACTAGATCCATGACAAAGTCTTCTCAAACGATACCCCTTATGCAAAGCTGCCCAAGGCGGAAAAGAGTTTCATCTCAAGCATTGCGGCGTCTCTAGTCTCACTGCTGACGGCTCTAGCTGAGGCTGGCGACGAAATCCTGGAAGCTATTTCCAACAACACAACCATTACTAACCTGCTCTTCACCCTCATCACTTATACTGCTCAAGAAGACCAGGATCCTCTATCGAATATCCGCGGAGACGCCATGGCTTGCCTCATGATTCTCTGCGAAGACAACTCCGATCTAGCCCAAAAACTCACCTGTTCTGGCAGCAACACCGCCTGCTATGAAGCCCTGGTCGCCCTGAAGGGTGATGTCAGCGGAGATGGCATCTTGGCTTGTGCCATCCTTCAAAACATTTATGCTTCCCTTCTTGGGCTGAAGAACATATCGCCAAAGACTGATGTGGCCGACGGCTCAGACCTGATACCAACTCTCACCAAAGCCATCGCTACATATATCCCTGGACAGAGTGTCGCCAACGGCAGCAGTTGGTCTAGTCCCTCAGAGTATCAACAACTAGCTCTGGAGACGATTGCATCCATCGGCACAAGTCTTGTATCTGAGATGGGCGGTCCCTCTCAATCATCTTCCAAGAAAAGCCATGGCGAAGCTGATAAGGAGGACAACGACGAGGATGAGGACGATGACGAAAACATGGATGAAGTGGCCTCAGACGCAGACGACAACGAAGATGAGGACGGAGAGGATGATGAAGACGATGACATGAACGAAGACGAGATGGAAGCCGACATGGACATGGTCACGGGTGGTGATCACGGTGAAGACAACATCGACCACCTTCCAACCCTCAAGTCTCTTGTCCAGACTGCTCTGCCCGAGCTGATCCGCCTTGCCACCCTCCAGCCCTCCGACGAACTCTCCCTCAAAATCCAAGCACATGCTCTCTCCGCCCTAAACAACATTACCTGGTCCGTCTCTCTCTTCGACCTTTCTGACGAGTCCAATGCCGGTATCAAAGCTGCCTGGACCCCCATCAGTCGCGCCCTCTGGCAGCAGATCATCTCACCTACACTCGCCTCCGACACCGCCGACGTCGATCTCGCCACCCAAATCACCAGTCTCGCCTGGGCCATCTCCCGAATCCTCCGTGGCGAGACCCCTCTCCAGCCCAACGAGCACCGCAAATTCATCTCCCTCTACCAGGCCACCAAGGGGGCGCCCGCCCGCCTCGACCCCGAAGACCCGTTCCAGGCCCTCGGAGTCAAGTGCATCGGCGTCCTCGGCCAGCTGGCCCTTCACCCCGCGCCCACGGACCTCAACCGTGAGATTGGCACATTCCTCATTACTGTCCTTGCCGGACTTCCGGACACTCCTACTGCCGATGCGGTGGAGGCGTTCAACCAAGTCTTTGACATATACGGAAACGAGGAGTACACCTACGACGCAGAGGTTTTCTGGAAAGGAGGCTTCTTGAAGCACCTCGACGGAACTGTTTCAAAGGCAAGGGCCATGGCCAAGGGCGTGAATAAGACTGCCCAGCCAGAATTAAGGGATAGGGCGGACGAGGTCATTATGAATTTGACGAGATTTTTGGCGTATAAGAAGAAACATAAGCCGGTGCAGGTAACACTGAGATAGAGAAGTCAATGGAACTAGAATAGATAGGCATTAATAGCTTTCGATATTTGCGTACATAACGCCCATATTATAAAACAAACGAACATGAGAAATAAAAATTGTTGAAACAATCTGACATCATTTAAGCCGTTATTTTGAACATGCCCATCATATCCCCTGCCCGTCATTAACACCGCTCAAATACCTTGTATAGCCCCTTCAAACTTGCCACCTCCAACACGGCTCCCTCCATGAGCTTCTTCGTCGCTATCAGCCGCGACCTAAACGCTGGGAAGAAGATGTGCTCAACGGCCCATCGGATATGCTGCCTTCTTACTCTGACCTCCTCAAGAGCCTCGTCATCCATGAGTTCCTGTCCCTCTTCTGCATCCAAGTCACCTTGCTCGTATTTCCCAGTGGGCGACGTGGGTAATGGTTCAGGGACATAAAATGTCGCCAACTCCGTGAGGAAAGTCTGAAAGCACAACTTTTCATCATTCCAATCGACATGGGGCCCGAGGCGAATGAGAAACCGGGGCAGTTTTCCGATGGATGGGGTATATCCCTTGACGAGAAGAGGGATGGATACCAACTCTCCAGTAGGCGTAATTTCGAGAGAAAAATACTCTTGGAGCATCTCTCTCCGTTCGATGAGTTGGTTCGCTACCTTTGAAACAACGGCATCGACATTGAACTCTTCGTCGGAAACACCCATGGCCTCCTTTTCTGCTTCTGCTCCCAGCTGGAGAAGTTCTGTGAGGTCTAGTGGCGGGCTGAAATTGATAGCCCCAAAATTCCCAAAGTCAGTCAGTCCAAGCTGGTAAAAGTACTCAAAGCAGGTGTGGCCATAATCAATCAGATACAGCTTCACGCCTCCCTGGATAGCGGCAAGCCGTCGCCCCTCATCGACGACACCGACAAACGTGTGAGAAGCAATAATCTCCGTCAACTCATGGTGGATCTCATCTCGAACATCTTGGCGAAGCTCCTTGATGCTCCTGAGTCGGCACTGTACCTGATCGCGGTCTATCGTCGTGTATTCGACGGGTTCTGGAACTGCCCATGTTTCGTCTTCCACTGCTCTAGCAGGAGAACCTGCTTTATCAGCGGGGCCAGCAGGTGAGAACAGGGCTGTAATCTTGCCCTGAGATTTGTCCGTCCGGACAAGGTCATTCGAATTTCGCCGCACCTTCCTGAGCGCCGGTGTAGTGAACTTGGGGGCTGCATCGCTATCATCCTCATCTAAAGGTTCAACAGGCTTGGCTCCCGGCAGCAGTGTTTGCGTTAGAAATGTTCGACTCTCATCCACTGTAGCAAGCTCCAACTCGATTTTCTTGCAAATCGCCTGGATAACCTCTTCTTCATTGAGGAAATGGACCTCCCGTTTGGTAGGGTGGACATTTACATCCACTCGAGCCGGGTCAATTTCAAGGCTGAGATAGATGAAAGGGTGACCGCCCTTTGGCAAGAAGCTGGTATATGTCTGTTCAAGCGCTTTTTTCATGGTTGACGATTCAACACAGCGGTGATTGATGAACAAGAGCAGCGTCGTCTTCTTGATGTGGTAATTGGCATTCGTGACATACCCATTGGCAGAGAACCCCCATCGGTCGTCGGAGACAGATAGTTCTATCAGCTCATTGGCAACATTGCTGCCATGGATCTGACGGATACGGTCTATCACGGTTGCTTGCGCCTGTACAGACAGCGAATTGGATGCCTCACCAGCCTTTTTACAAGTGAAGCCAACGCCTTTGCAATGAATCGCGTAACGACCGGCCATGTCGATGATCTTGTTGAATTCATCGGCGTAAGACCGAAACGCTCTTCGACGAGTGGGCACATTGAAAAACAAGTCTTCTACTGTAATTTGGGTACCCTGGCGCCCGGCAACGCCCTTGGGCTCCGCAGACTGCCCTGGCTTCGGGGGAGCCAGTTTTCCGTCCAGGTAATGTGCGCGCCAGGCGAGAGATGACTCCTTGGTTTTTGTCGTGACTGTGAGGTGGGCAATGTGACTGATGCTGGCCAGAGCTTCGCCGCGGAATCCATATGTTGCAATGGACGAAAGGTCTTCAAACGTGGAGATTTTGGATGTCGTATGCCGAACGCATAAGATTTCCAAGTCTTCTTTCTTTTAGGTAAAAATAGTCAGCCGCGGTGTTGCAAGAATATAAGCGAGTCATCCAAGATACCTCAATGCCACCGCCGTTATCGGTGATTTGAAGCAATTTTAAACCTCCGTCTTTGACAAGAATCTCCAACGACGTTGAACCTGCATCCACGGCATTCTCAATCAGTTCTTTGAGCGCGTGAACAGGGGCAACAATAATCTCCCCAGCAGCAATCTTGTTCACAACATCGGGATCCAGAGCCTGGTTGTAAGTGAAGGTTAGTTGATGGAAATATTCTCCAAAATCATTCTCCAGTTCTCGAGTCCAGGAAAATAGGAGTGGGAGAGTGGGATGGATGTATTACCCTGATCCTTCGTGCTGGTTTCGGAGCCTCGATTTCATCCTCTGCCTTCCTTTTAGTCCCACTTGGAGCGTTGTCGATTTCCATCTCATCCATGGCCACCCCAATTCGGCACTATTCTGTCAATTATTGCAGCAATTCACACTCAAACAACGCCGAAGCATGCCATCCATCAATCATCAACCGTCATAAACAACGCCAGCATGAAGGAGAAAACCCGGTACAGAACAACCTATTGCAGCACACAAAGTATTAACATCAAACAAAGAAAAGAACGGATGCCGACCGAAAGATCTTCATCTCATCAGAAAAGAATGTTCAACAGTCGAGAAGGAAGGCGGAGGAAAGCGGATGACGATTTGGGTGAGTGCGCGAAGTTCCCACGTCTGCACGTGACCTACTAGAGTTCAGTACAAGTCCTAGGTACTTGGGTACAACGGCTCTCTTACACCAGCGACTCTACCAGCAATTTACGACCGCTTGATACATCTGGATTCGAATATTCTGGATTTTAAATGCCTGACATTCTCCGTATGCAAACATAGTTTTAGAGTAGTACCACAATAAATATTTGGGCAGACCTTCGGCAATGAAGCGAGGTGCTGCCTACCTAGATCTAGGCCATGCAAGTACATCTCCTCAATACGACTGCAGGGTTCGCAGAGCGGTCATTTACACGAATGGAACAACTCAGATAATTTTCTCAAGCCAGTCAGCCATGATCCTAGATTCGTGCATTTTGAATATCAGAATTTCATATTCCACGCTTTCTCTTCTCTAGCATAATGACAGACGCGCCAAGATATGTGGTCGAAAAATACATCGTCAGCATTCGAGATGACGATCACGATGCCCGCTTTACTGTCCGCCGAAACGGCAAGGCCTTTTACATCAAGGTCTCACCGTCTCAGTTTGTGAACTCACCCATGATGATAGACAAATTCATATCGTTTGTTAAGGTACTTCGGTCAGGCAAAGAGGTACTTGATATCTACGACACTGATGTCTATGAATGGGTCACGGCCCCGTTTGAGCTACTCTTCGCCGAGCTCGCCCCCAACCCGCCAGGAGATCCAAAGGATATCAGAATTACCCTACATGACCATCTCTTCTCTGAGTTCTTCGTTTTTACCTTGGATGTTATTGATGAAAAACGGTGTCCTCGTCGAATTGCGGCGGAAACGTCGCCCTATCGTCCCTCATATGTTCGATTCGACGATAACTTTCTCGACGAGCTCGAGGCGTGGACTTTGTTTTATGATCCAGCTAGGATTACCTTGAGTTTTAAAGATCCCGAAGATGCGCTCTTTAAGCCTTCTGAGAAAGTCTTAATTGACAGCGGCCAGACTGAATGCTTCTTTAAACCTTGCAACTCTGGCGTACAGATTATACGGGAGCTTGAGACCTATCGCAAGATTCAAGCCGCCGGTCTAGACTCTCAATTCAACCTATGTCACGTCCATGGCGTTGTCATGGATGATTGTGGCTTTATTCTCGGTATATTACTAACCTACATCGATTGTGGCGGTTGTCCACTATCAACAAGAATCCATCCCGAAGAACTCGATGATCCCATACCTGCCATCAGAAACCGTTGGCTAAATCAGCTTGATACCACCCTCACGGCGTTGCACAAAGCAGGTATAGTCTGGGGAGATGTCAAGGCAGAAAATGTGTTAATTGACCAAGACAACAACGCATGGATCACTGATTTTGGCGGCGGCTATACTGATGGTTGGGTCGACAGGGAGATGGCAGGAACTGTAGAGGGAGATTTGGCGGGTATGTCTAAGCTGAAGAAGTTTCTATTCCCATCTGAAAACTCCTCGGGGTCACAAATTCACGATAGATACGGCGATACGATATAGATAAAACAAATTGACAATTCCTATATGCCAAAAAAATCTCCATGCCTGATACCATAGATACTGCCGCCTCTGCCAGAATATCACAAAGCGCTCGACTGCTTCTGCATGAATGAACCACAAAAGAATGAATGACACAAATTAGCTCTTCGCTTGTAAACTCCATATCCTTTAAAATCAAAATATAGCACCGCTGAAGTGTTCAATCCAATTGCCCCCCCCTGAATCTGCTTGCAGTATGATACCGCTCCCTGCCCATCCGCTTTTACCCCAAAGCCGAGTAAAGAAAGAAGGAAATTGAGTGAAAATAGAGAAGAATAAAAATAAAAGAGCATAGAGAGATAACAAACGCCTAGAAAAAAAAAAGGCAGACTGTGCGCATCCATACTGGTACATTGTCGCTAAGTTGCAAAATTTCAACTCTTTAGCATCACCTGCAATTTTTGGTGCTGGCAAAAATCAACTAACGACGCTCATGTGTTGAAAAGCAGTGTCTTTATATCCATACTTTTGTAATGGAAGTCAAGTAGTTGCCCCAAAGCGCCAGCGCCAATGATCAAATTCTCATGAAACATTTCGACCTAGTGGTCGAAAAAATGGTCCTCTATCAAGTACAGGATCAAGTTTCCAAGCTAAGCTGGCCTAGTCATTACCGCCTAACAGAATCACTGGGCTGATCTAGCAAGCCGCCAATATCAACTCGTCTCGGTCGTTCGCCATTGGGCCAACTGACTTCTCGAGAGGAGGGTCTATGATCTGGCTGTGCCCGAATAGGAGGTAATTGATATGTGGGCTGAGTTGCGGGGCGACTAGTCGGAACATGATCACTTTGAGATGTCTGATAACTCGAACCAGAGTACTGGGAGTGTGTATATGCTGGGACCCCTGAGTTGGTACCAGTGTTCGAAGGAGCCGAATTTTGTGGCGACCGAATAGAGCCTTCACTAAGGCGATGTCGATAAGAATCAGCCGAGGAAGTACTCGATTGATCTCCATACGCTGATTGATGAGATGGGGGCGGATGATGATAGGCCGCACTGGGTTCCCGTGTATGTTGTGAATGTTGCGGGTGCTGCGTGTATGGGGGATGCTGCACATGCTGACCATGCTGTGAATGTTGAGAGTGCTGTCTCTGCGGTGGATGATGAGGATATTGTTGATGATGTTGATGTGGCGTATGATGTTGTGATGGCAGCGGCGGCGGTAACTGTGGATGAGGTTGTTGAAGACTCAACAAGAACACCACGAAGTAAAACGAACCCTCTTTTGCAAGCCCAAAACGAAGCGGGAATGTCCTGGTGTAACCATCATATCCAACGAAACTAAAATACTCGACATGATTAAGTCGGAATCTTGCGACATCATCGCTCGTAAATCCAAAGTCCTTGATGGCCAGATCTAGCCTGCCCAACATAGGAGGTAGGTAATTCGGCTCGTGTAATCGTTGTTCTTCAAAAAGTTGATTTTGAAGGCTAGTAAGGAAATTCGCTTGATGTGGCGCAACGATATCGCTCAGTTTATTTCCCAATGGGCTCGATGCATGAACTATGTCCATGAACATTGGCGATGCCTTGACAATATCAAATTCCATGCTCAGGTACGCCAAAGGTTCCATAGCGTGAGGTGTACCCGGATAAGAAGGATTGTAGAGATTTGGGTCGGGAGCCATAGATCTCTCTTGATATTCGCGTGAGGCATCAGTCGGGTGTTCGAGAGCCCGATAGGATTGATTTCGTCGGAGAGAGTCTTCATACGGCGAAAGTCCCGCCATCGCCGAGGGGTATATACTTAACGGCCTCCTGAGAGCCGCATCCTGCGGATGAGAGTATCTTGTGGGATCGAATCTGGCATCTCTTTCGTCTCGCAATCGTGGTCGACCTCTCTTCTTATGCTGAACGTCGACACAAGCCTCCTCTTTCCCATTACCAAGACATCGAGAACAGGGCCGTTGTGCTATAAATTAGTTAGCTCAGAGCTTCATTAAATTTTCTGTCCTCCACAAAAAGCCCCCCTTTTAACCCAGCATTTTACGCTGTCAAAAGAGAGTCATCTTTCTCTTCCACCAGAGAAGCCAAGAAGTTGATTCGCTTCATTCAGGATATTGCTGATTTTCAATGGATTGTATACTCTCCGAGAGAAGCAGAGCGGCAGCTCAACCATACCGGCGAATTATGATATATTTCAACAGAACAAAATCAAAAACAAATACAACGTACCATCGCATCTAGGAAAGGGAGTGTTAGTAATTACACAGAGCTGCAAAACGTCGTACGCATCTTTCAAACACTAATACTAACCGAAGATGAGCTTTCTTGCAAGGTACGCAAGCAGAGGCAACGTGGCCTTTTGTCTTTCTCTGAGATTTCGGAGACGTAAATGGCTGTGATTCGGCTGCCTGTGATCGATCAGGCACAGGATATGCGTCCGAGTTCGATGATACCGAGTTCAGATATGGCGCTGATGAAACTCCCTGAGGCATCACATGGTGATGTTGAGGAGGATAAGGGACAATTCTTCCCGATTCTTCAGGCCTTGGGTAGGAATAGGGCGACCTTGTCGTCGGTTCTTGTGGGTATGGTCTCGTCATCAATGAAGCCTGTTCCCGCATATTTGTGGGTGATGGCTGTGCCGGACCTCCACGAAGGCCATCTATAAGCCTTGGAGTAGCGTAGAAATTCGGAGCCTCGCCTCGACTACCAGCCTCATGAGCCGATCTCAGAGGCAAGGGCGGAGAGCCGGACATAGGAGGCGAGGGATATGCCCTACTCCGTACAGCCGACTCCTCTGGGAGGAGCTCCTTACGGCTCCAATTGAAGTCAAAGGCACAGCGGGCCGAGTTTGAGTAAGCTTGGTTAGGCCCGGGGTGGAGGGGCGGCGTCGGATTAGAAGGTTGGGTTATATATGTCATGGATGAAATCTTCCTTCAAAAGCTTAGCTGGCCACTACCCACAGCGCCCAGTTCCAAATAACAAGTTTTCAGGTTTCGATCATACAGATGGGCTAATTTAAGCCACGTATCCCGTGAAAAACTCGAAACGAATGCGAATGCGTGGTGCTCTTCCGAGTGAATAATAATCGACACTCGAAGACGCAGGTGGTCTGTCGTCGGTAGAGGAGGTTTGCAGTAAAATCTCGTCGTGAGCTCAAATGTCAAGAGAAAAATTAACCAACATAAAAACCCTCTCGTTGAACTTGCTTCGACGTTAGAGTCGGCAAGTGATTAGACGAGTATAGATAGCAATCTCGATTTCTCCGTGCTCCAGTATCTAATGTAGAAAGATGAAGGGGAGTGACTCGGCAGCTGGCCTTGGAATGATGAGGGAGAAAAAGGACAAAAAGTCGTTCGCCGGACCCAGGGAATGGCCACGAGACTGACAGACCGGCCAGCGAGTTCGAAACAAGAATGGAACCGAGATCCAGCTAGGCGGACAAGAACCGACGTGAAACAGACGCCGCTGGAACGGTGTGATACCTGATAACCAGAGAACCTTTCGTGATACAGCATGCAGTCGTGTCGTCGGTGGTTATCGAGATGGAACGGCAGCCCGCAGCAAATCGCAAAGTTCCACGACTTGAGTGACGGGTTCTGGCGACGCTGAAGTTGCTGAACCCGACCAAAGTCGCGGGCTCAAACAACCGAGTCAGAAGAAAAGCACAACGGGGATCAGCCTCTCGAGGCTGATTGGCGGCTCACAGTCGGTTTTTGTGCGACTCTTAGGCCCAGTCAATGGGACCCAGTTGCCAGATGCAAGGTAGTCGGACCATAGAAAATAGGGTTATCCGCCGAACAGCCTACAAGCGCGAGAGCTACAGAGCAAGTAGGTGGCCAAGCACGTAGCGTTGAGGAGTCGGGGGCCCACGGACCGAGTTCCTGGTCTAATAATGTTCTTATTGCAGCGGGTTAATCAGAGGCGACAGGATATGGCTTGTTCCATGATGATCCCCTGCCCGGTCAATCCTATCTGACAATTCTCCGCTGGCTTGTCTCGAGAGGGGAGGAGAGACGGCCACCGTGCGTGTGAGATTTCACAAGCGTAATAAGACACTGGAGACGGCTATGATTGGGGCAAACTGGGAAGGGAAAGGCGGGAAACAAGAAGAGAGCTGCGGAGGCTGGGTGGGGAGGGGGCGTGTATCTTGTCTCCTGGAGGTGTTGGGACTCGGTAGCAAGCAGAAGGTTAGTCAAGGCCAGCCAGCAAGAAGGATTTAGACGGTGGTCAAAGAGGTGGACGGCGAGGCGATAAACCAGTCGCCGTTCAACCACGATGATGGAAAGGCGTCATGCGAGTAAGAGGTGAGATTCAGCTGAAGGGGACTAGGACAGGACTCGGAGCTCTGAGCCGTAACCGGGAGACAGCAAAACTGAGTTGGCTGGGTGATATCTCCCCTTCTTGTTGGCTCCGGGGGGCGGCGTCTCAGGGAGTGAGGGTGATGTTGAGGCTGGTCATTTAACTGTACTCCCTCGTTCAGACTTTTGATGCCGGGATAGTCCTGGCGTTCTAGAAATGAAAGCTGTGCGGCGTTCAGGTTTCGTTATACTACTCCGTCCCTGCCTGTACAAAAAGCAATTAGGGGGGTGAGCGACTTTTCCAATACTCGAGTAAGTTTCCAAGCTACTAAGAGAGATGATCGAATCGGTCAGAGCAGGCAGGACGAGAACAGGCCGGGGTTGGGACGATTTTGGTGCCCTCGGCACATTTAGAAGGGCCCGAACGATGTCTGGAGCCAACCCCGTGTACATGTACTTGCTTTAGTCTGCATGTACTCCCCCCCCCGGCCTGAGCGTCAGACGCAAGAGCCAAGGCTTGCAACGGAGGGACCTCCTCCAGGAGCTTTCAAAAGTTGGAGTAGCTCGCGTTGCCCCAAGCAGCTTGGGAGACAGGGAGCCTGCATGGGAGTCGGGGAAGCTAGCAAACCTGGGATTAGTAGTACTAGCACTGGGTTGTGTGGCTAAATGGCACGGCCTCGATGACGGATTGGAGGGATGGCTTCGTGGATCGCGGATGGGCCACTACGGAGCAAGCCCACGAGCCTTGGGAGGCTTGGGTACCAGAGAGGGTGTCCACGGGGCGCCTCTGCTTTAGCGGGCCGGCTGAGTGCCAGATTTCTACGAAGCACCATCAGGCTAAACAATCGAAGTGGCATCATGGCGGAGGTGATGGTGGATATGACACGAGCTGGACGCTTATTTAGGGACCGTGCCGGACCCTGCGCCCAGGCCCTGCTTTCCAAACATGGCCACATGCTTTGCCCAGCGCCCTCTCTATCTTCCTGTTGGCCGGCGCCCCAGAGCTGTGGGCAGGGCCTGGCTTGTCGACAAGGCTGCGTTGAATTCTTGGGATACTTACATGTATACCTGTGACATGGGTGAGCGGAAGAGACTCCATCCAATCATCCAGTCGCTCTGTGCATGGGCATGTGGAACACGCGACGGCAGGGTGGGAAGCCGAAGCTTAGACTGCTGAGTAAAGTTTAGAATCTCTCCAAAGCTCGCACCCAAACGGACTCATAGAAAAGGGATCAAATGCCTTTCCCACACGACACCTGCTTGTACAAGTACAGACTGCAATGCCAGCACGGAAGCCGAGGGCGCTGCAGCGGCTTGGAGTACTCCGTAGTGTTGACGACTAGAGATTACCCGATTGAGCAAAGGGAGGAAGAAAGGGCCAGTGCCCCGTTCTCCCTCGCATAACGTGGCCAGCTGAGGCTTTAGCGATGTGTAGGATTGGGAGATCTAAAACATGCAGAGCAGATCCCATACTTCTTCAGACACGGGTCAATGAATTGCCAAACTTTGTCCGACGGCTCAAGAATCAAAGCGTGAGCCTTTCGCTGTTCACAACACACCACAAGGCGCCCGAAACTGAGACCACGCCAGGCCCGGCGTCACCGATCCCACCCTGAGCCCGTCTGTGCGGATGTAGGATTATTATGCACTCCGCCGGTAGTAGGAATACCGACTCTGTTCCGATATACATGCTTGATGCTCCGTAGTTGTACTAGCATTGACATTAGCCTTGTCGCAACGGAAAAGCTGGCGCCTAGGCAGCTTCAGGTACAAACACTTGCCAGTGCACTCCTCCCCGGCAAGATTGGAGACCTTTTTGCCCAGATGACGTTTTGTGGCGGCCTGTCATTAGGCAGTACCTTTCCCTTGAGTGGTTGAGTGGGTCATTCTCTTCTAATCCGGCCGGTTTGTATCACTCAATAGTACAGTATCTCGATGCCTAACGTGACCGTGTGATGACTGTATGTAATGCCGTTCGCTACAAGGCCGGCCGCGGCCCTGGGAAGAGAAGCCCATCCTTCGTTCTCGTCGAATCCTAGGAGTGAAACCAGGTCTCGCCAACGCGGACCCAAGGCTCAGCCTGGTCTGTCCCCCAAAGATCCGCCTGTCGTTTTAAGATCCGACTGAGTGCTCCCAAGTTGCAGAATCTGATGAGAAATGAACGGGCCAGCATGCGGTCCGCGGACATTTTGGGAGGTGTGCCATTTAGCGTTGGAGCGGCCTCCCCTTGTCAATGCGTGGCAGCTTGCCGGTTGGTATGACCCAAGATTTCCGAGATTAGTTTCTCCATCATGTCAAAAAGTAGCTCGTTCCTGGCAATGTAACGGGTACTTGGCAGATGCCGAATCAGGTCGACCCATTCCTCCATGAAGCTCGCAACTCTTCAGTTTTATCGGCTCGAGCCATGAACTGTACCAGTATCCCATGATGGGGAAGTCTAGGATATCTATCGGTATCTTCGGAGTGCAGGCTAGGCCAGGAGGCAACGAGATTGGGACCCCTACTCCTCCGTATTGCTCATTGTCAAAAGCAAACAGGATCCATCCGCGAGCAAGCCTTGGGCTAGCGCGGAGCTGTCCAAACCCACCCGCTTACCCAAACCAATACTCGTACCTCATGTCGACGTACAGAGTACTAACAAGGACTACCTAGTCCAGGCGGGTGAGCGAGAAAAAAATATGATAGCACTAGTCAAATGGCCCTGGCCAGATTTCAGGACCTCAGCAAGTCATCAGTTTGCTCCGTACTTGTACGGGTATGTAAACACTGGGATCCCCTAGTCTACCTTTGCGTCAGGGTCATAGAACACATGCAGTGTGTGCATGAGAAGCAGCATTTTCCATCATACGAGCAAACATGGCTTCCAACGAGAGAAAGCAGCTTCGCTGAAAGAAGGCCTTCATTTCTCCAACACTAGAGAGACGGGAGGTGCTAGACAAACGACCACATACCAGCTGTCACTTATCGAAGACGCAAGCTTCATCCACCGGATGTCTCTCCCAGATCGGATTGGTGTCCTGCAAGAATCACCGACCAGGCATCTCAGCGCTGCCAGAGAACCCCCTGGCGTAAAAACCAAGAGGGCTTTGCTTTTTTAGAGAAAAAAAAAAAAAACTGTTCCCAGCAAATCGTATTGCGCGCGCTTGAATACCCGTGCAGCAGTGCGACCGTGCCATCCCGAAACCAGATATTGACACATGATGCTAATAATTCACCCGACGGAGTCACCCTTGCTCCCGCCCCTCCAATTAGCGAAGAAGATGTGAATACTGATTCCCTTATTGATATTTCAGTTGGGGAAAGGTATCATTCGGTACTCATACCTGAAGCAGATGCTTACTCGCTTGAGTCTGAGTGTGTACCAGGGCCCCTGGTTATATTAGTCGCTGCGCGGATTTCGACGATTGCAAAACTCGTCTTCTTTTTGTAAACAGGGCGCGGTATTGAAAGGGTTCGTGCTTGGCATTTGAAGTCAGCCAGAATTGCACAATGGGATCGAAAGAATTACCTTCTAAAGGGGGAAGTAGAGGGCTGCGGGCTAAGTGGTGGTCTGAAGGCAGTTTCCGAGTTAGCCAGGTTTCGCTGCTGTAGCTTGCCGGCTGAGAGTCGACCCGCTTTGATGCCGCCGTTGACGATGCTCCAATGCCAGTCAGGCGCTCACTTCTCTACAGATAAGCCATTGAAAAGCTGCATGAACCCTTGCAGGAATACCGCGGCACCGCTGTCGTCGACCCAATGGCTCGGGCTCTGGACCAGTCAGGATGTGATCTGATGGTTGCCACCGAAGACGTAATCACATCTCTTGTCTGGGCCTCGCTCTGGGCAAAGGAGAGAACCAGAGGAGCGAATAGAACCTTAAAGGTCGGTCCGGGATATCTTCTAACCATCTTTTTAGTCGCCGGTCTTTGGTATGAAACCCGTGCGTTGTCTGCTTTGAAAACGACGTTTCTCCTTTAATGCAGAATACAACGTTGGGGTTACGTGAGAACATACTGCCGTCTTCTTTTTCATTACCCTTGTACCACATTGGTGTTATTTTGGTCCCTTCTCTCTGTTCTTTTTTATACAAACCAACCGGCAATAAGATAATCAAGGTGACCGCAGTAGTATATTTGGCTGCTCCGCATTTCTTGTTCGGTTTCCCTTCCGAATGCGTCAACGTGGAAAAAAAGAAGGCCTAATAAACGGAGCGTTGATCTATGCATGGCTAAATCCCCCGACCCGACGACGCGTTAGCTAGTACTCGTAGTTGGCGCCCATTCACGGCTCTCGCTCCTTGGTCCCTTGTTCTCTTAGGCAGCAAAGTCTCCAAAAGCGTGCCAGCAACTGGCATTTTCACCATCAGCACCAATCATGGTGGAATTTCAACTTGAAGCCCAGCCGTCTTTTTAAGGTGAACGCCGATGGGTGACAAGAATGTGCCTGTCCCACCTCAGCTGATGGGCACAGTTTGTGATCACTGAATAGCTAAGCAGTATCGTACTGTATGTACTGATACTACGGAGTACGTATTAGTATGAATAACGCTCCCTGACAATCAGACTAGCTCGATGGCCGAGGCAGCAAAGGTAGCATGATGGAGTAGCGCTGGCAGCGACTTGAGACTGAGATAAACTGCTGTATTCTTCGTGGCGGTATATAAGATGTAGGAGCTCGAGGGCATGCTATCTCTTCTGCCCTCTTCTTTTCACATTCTCCTTCTCTTTTGCCATGGATGCTTTTCTCGGCCAACCAGCATGGGCATCGGGGAACCAGGGGATGGCGGGTTACCGAGACTTCCAAGAGAGGAATGATATGTACCATTGTCGGGCTGGAGATTTTCAACAGAACCAGAGCTTCCTTAGCTCCGTGCTATCGTCCTTGTTAGCTTAGCACCCAACTTATCTGGTTGCAGGCTTCCAAGTCGCAAATTGGTATCACTGCTGGGGTAATACCGGCAGACTCGTGGGCCCCATAATTAGATGTGGTGCTTTAGACTTTGCGTGCCGACGAAGGAGATAGCCGCTAATATCAGCCGTCCCAATGAAAGAAGGGAACATTTGTATCCCTTGGCGCCATATGCGTCGAAAGTGCTTGTGCTCATACGAGTAGCCGTAACTTTGGTAGGCTGGAGCTCATGGAGGATAAGGAAAGCTTGGTATACTGGACCCGATATAGTAGGTACGGAGTACTCCGTGCAGGGAGAGGTGCAAATCTGGCGATGTGATGAGCAAACCCTGGAATGCTTGCTGGATGAGCACATGCTGCTAGGTCTAGAATTTCCCGAACAAGGAGCGCCCCTTAATACTGACCACTGGGATAGCACTCATACTGTACAGTCCTGTACGGGATGCCACATCGCAAATATCGAAGACCAAGTACAGTACCCGTACGAGTATCGTGGCTACGGAGTACGGAGTCTCAGCACTCCCTATCCCGCAGCTTGCACCTCGTCCATCTGCGAAAGCATGAACGCCTAGCCGCAGAACAGAGGCACTAGGACATTCAAATTATTCCGGCGTCGTCGAGAGGCGGCGCTGGTGGCCCTCTTAGCTGCATCTCGTCAGCACATTATTGCCTGTTTGGCGTAGCAGAAGTGCCTTGGCACTCACCCGGAGCCAGTCAAGACACACTGAGGTCAGGCACGGATTACAAAAGACTGCTTAGGCTCAGAGTTCAGGTTCTAGTCGTATTGGCGGAGACGAAGCTGATAGTAGTCCGAGTCTGCCATGTCGGCAACGCACATCGAATGTCGCTGGATGGCCAGCATTGGCCGCGGGAATTTGTTTTACCCGAAAGCAAGTCTGGTGATGGCAATCGCGTCCTTGATTCTTGCCGTTGGGGGTGCCGAAATCAATCACAATCACAGCGCTGTGCTTTGCCAGGTACGCGGTACGAGGCGCTGTACCTGCTACAGTACTCACACTTCCAGTTCTTGGTAGGTGTCTGGTACCCACCTGGGCACTTGTTGCTTGCTGCAGTAGGTTCTAGGTACAGTACCACTACCTGTACTTTAATTTGCCGCCCAAGGTGGCGCCCCCTTGGCTTTCTCCCCTCCAACGTCCCAATCGAAATTCTCCGTATCTTCACTTGCCTCGTATCTGGAGTAATGCCCCATGTCTCCCGCTGCACAGGCATGAGAAAATACGGCAGCAATCGACAGTCGCTACATACATGTGCGTGCCTCATACAAGGGCGTCCGGAAGCCGCTCCGTAACGACGCCGCGGCCAAGGAGCAAAAGATTGATCGGCATAAGATCCTGGGCTAGGAAAGGTGCCTAAATATGTATGCCCTTCTCTACGGAGTACCTGCTTGTGATTTATACAAGTATAATATGATATCTGACGAGGGAAACGATGCCTTTCTAATGCCATCACAGACTGGACCATCGATTACAAGCTTTCTCTCCCAGATTCAGCAGGTGGCATCCTGCTGCCATGGTTGGCACTTTGGCCACTAGTCAGACAAAAGGGAGGCTTTCTATTTTCACGATGTACAGTATCGTGAGCATCGAAGCACTAATCACAAATCGTCTAAAGCAACGAAACACCGGGGTCGGCCGGGCACCTGTGCGTCGGAAGGCTCAGGCCAAATTTTTCTCCCATGGCTCTACAACACCCCGCTGGAACCCCATTTCTTTCTGATGGTCGCAGGACTATTGAAGAGCTAAATTTCCGGGGGACAGGGATAAGTCCTCCAGTGAATCTGGGGGAACAGCACAGGAATCTCTCACAAAAACCCAGGCCTCTGCAGCCCGGCAACTTACGAGAGAATGCGAGCTAATTCCCGTACTCTCCGTGATATCACGACAGGGAAGTGAGAGGGGGGTAAATGTACGGGACAGACACGCCGTGCAGCGAGGAAAAAGAAAGAAGCTCCAGGCCTCGAGCTGCTACTAAAACCTCGCGTCCTCAGCAAGGGGCCTCATGCATCTAGTCTTGTTCCGGTAGGAAGGTGCATATTTCGGCTAGCCAGCCTTAGGCCGTGAATACGGCGAATGGAGTCCGAATTACGAAGTACGAAATGGTACAATCTCATTTACTCCGTGCCGAACGGAAAATTTGGGGCTCCTGGGTTCAGGTACCTCTTTGCGGAGCTGTTGTTAGACCCAAGGTGCAAAGATTCCCTTCCTACCGAAGAACAGCTGACCTTGGTCTGCAGGATATCTTGCGACATATCTTGGATCCATCTAGCCACGCGGCGGCAGCAAGGCCAAGGGAGAAAAAAATTATCTCACCAACAGCTCATCCCGCTAGTAGTACGCAGTGTGTGCTATTTGACATACTACCACCGCCTGCCCGCATGCTTCGTGCCATCAGGTGGGTATTTGGGGGGCTAGCAATACGATCTTCACTTCTTCCGAGTATCATTCCGGGGAGGCTCGGCATCCAATGATGCGACACCTGAAAAGCTTCTCCCTGCTTTTGCCACACCAGAGAGTGGACAAGATAAGCAACAACCGGAAACGGGAATCTAAAGCGCAGTGCCCCTAGTGGCCATGTCACTATTCCGTAGTCGGCAAGGAAACCAGACGGAAATTTTCTGACAAGCGTCTATTATTTCATCACATCTCATCGATGTGGGTGGGGGGTTATAGAAGGGGCTGTGTGTGGCCCCGTCCGTCGAGCCCACCGTGACATTCTCCTACATTGTTCAATCTTACATACATGCGACGAACGAACCCGTGCCAAGTACATGTACCAACTTGGCGTGGTGTGCCATCTCCTCGGCTTTTTTTTTTTTCTCGGTCCTGGACTCTTACGGCTCATGTACAAGTGTGTCCTTGTTGGTATTCGAGTCGTCGATACGATCAACGCTGCCAATTTCACTAGTAACACTTTAACGGCATGCCCAAGGATATCAACTTCATCCGAGGCAATCGCTGCGCATGCGTCACAATCGGAGCTTAGCCTCTTGATCGGAACAAAGTATCGAGTCTTCCCTTACTTCTGCTTGGCATCCACACTGCTTAATAGAGCACTCCAACCCCGACCATTAGTACTGCTACAAGTGCCACACCGATGTGACTGGGGTGGGCGAATTGGCACCGACATTCTACGCTGGAAGGGTCTGGACTGTACCATTAGCATTTCGGAAGTGTGACGGCCGCCAACACTAGACTGTGCTGGTGGAATAATAGTCTGTCCTTTTCACACCAAGATTCGACTACACCTGGAGCACGAGTACAAAGTGGGAGTGGGAGCATTTTACCTCTCTGTTCAGGAATTACGGAATAATCACATCCTTTATTCGAGATACGCATATTGCCGCCAAGAGATAGGTGGATGCATCGCAAACTCACACCCCTCAGGCGTTTTGACTCTACAGTATGTACTCGTAGCTGGTAAGTTCCGAACACTCCGCGATAAAGTTGAGGACCGCGGGTTCGGAGTACAACCACTATGGCAAAGACGCAATCTCCTTCTTCATGGTTGTATTTTGCTGCACTTGGCTTGGAATGAATCCCTTTCACCGGGGTTGCCACGTGCTGGGATGGCCCCTTGTTGACACAAGTTTTCTCGTAAGAGGTCGGGGCCTTTTCCCATTGCTTCTGCTACTGTTGTGTATTACTGCGAACCGACACCTCAGGAACCTTGAGACACTTAGGGACTCCAGGTGTTGACAGCGAGAAAGCATCCTCGTACGGTTCCAACAATGTCTCGCCTCTGAAGTTGAAGCCCAAAGCTCCCTGCTCGAATCACCAAGATTGTCCGGTATCACTTATCATCTCTTGCGTATAAGTACGACGCCGAGGCCTTGTCGAGCTATCAGGTCGGCTCTTCGCCGGCCTTATCCCCGTATGATATCCTGCAGTATGAGCATTTACGATACGAAAGCAATGAGTTGCATTGTGGCGTCAGCCAAGACAAAGATCGATTTGAAAATCAGACATAATCTTGAGACTTT